TAGTTTTTGATGGTTTTCAAGGTTTTCGCTTTTACAATCTTTGGGTTCCATGTTGTCTGCCAAAAGTCTTTCTTCAGTGGCAATGTCTATTCCATTTTCTGCCATCTGATTCTGAAAAAGGTGAATTAGATGAGAAAAATTAGGGCATTAATGCTTTCTTTAATTCTTTATTTGTTCTAATTGTGTATCTAAAAAACAAAAAAACAAATAGAACCTTTTAAAAATTATAAACATATTGTGTGATATTTCTAATTTGCCTGATTAAATTCAGAAGTGAGAATACAAATAAATGTATGTTTTTTGAAGAAATTCCTCATGACCAACCAAGTTGAAAATGCCGCCTATATAGGAAGGACCAATATATGCTTAAATAAGGGTTACTTTAATTAATTTTATGTTACAGAGAAGTTATAATGATCGTCCGAAGTTCCACAAATAGTTCTTATGTTGATGATTTCCCCCAAATTTCATTTCATATTTGTTTTCTTAAAATTTCCATGATCCATGGGCAAAAGAAAATATATACCAACCAAAGTTGGTTTAGAATAGTAACATTTATTTAGCCACCTTGTGTACAGTTTAGTATCAAAATCATTATTAAATGAAGTACTTCAATTGAATTTCTGAAATTTCATTATCAAACAAAATTTAATAACATGCAATGAAAAGAGGCGAGTCTTATGCATCGTATGACTGAAATGCGTTGAAGGGTACTCTTTTATTTCGTCGATTGATTTGATAGACGGGCATTATTTCATAGGTCGACAGGTGCGCTTTTTGAGAAACTAAACCAACAACTATGTCACGTGACCTATTTTGTCCAATGAGAGCATCTAAGTTGTATAATGTGAAAACGCCAGCCCAACAACACAATAAAAACAGTGGAGAAAATAATAGAGTAACGGTGTTTTTAAATCTTGACAATCGTGGTCTATACAAAACTACTATAGTATTGTACTCAATAATGCTGAAACCATTTGATCATCAGTTTGGTACGTTGCAAGCGCAACACCCCCTCCCTCATTGCAAAAGCCATGCGGGTCGATGACGCATAAAATTGCAAATGGCGGACCGGTTAGCAAAACATGTGCTAGAGGCATGGTTCTAAATATTTGAGCATTTAAGCACATATAGGATAGTTCATGTATTCAAAATATTTCCGTTTTTAAAAATTTATGAAATTACACAATCACATACATAATTAGAAAGCCATGTAACAATAGAGAGTAAGAGATCCCGAAATCGATTAGCAGGTGCGCTTGGTGCCCGCGTTCTTGCTCAACGTGTTTTTTTACATAAACAGAATAAATTGGTATATATATCTTGATGTAGGCTAATTTCCAATGAACAGTGCAGTATTAAATGTACGTTGGTATATCAGAATATACCTACCTTTTTGACAATAAAGCCGAAAATTGTTTTTTCGAGGTTCAAATTCCTGAACCTCACCCGCCTAAAGACTCATTCGGGAGTTATCGGGTGCTATACATTTGTTGCTCTATTGTACGAACATGCCTAATTAGGGGGTACTTGGTTCGTCTAAGCTGAAAATACTCAATGTCCAGCTGCGATGTACCGGCTTGAACTAAGAATACTATGGAAAATTGTATTTCCCCTTAAATATTCTCAGTTTTAGCATTAAATAAAGAAGGCTATTTCTGAATATTAATATTCTTAATAAGATTTTGCATTGTTTACATTTTATACATTATTTGTTTCTTAAGATAAACTGCATGATGTGTGTTTCTTTTCGACAATAATACGTAACTAACTAATTATAACTTTCCGTTATAATACATGTAGCGCTACTTATGTTGTTATCTATTTTTAATGATGGATTAGCTGACAAAATCACCTTTCATATGAACAAATAATAAGTTTATAAAGATAAACGGCAGAATGGTTTAATGTTGATGATACTTTAAGCTGTTAACAGTAATATATGTACAAGGTATATATACATATGAAAAATATGATAAATATAAATACAACAGTAATAATAAGTATGATATACAGTACTGTTGTATAGGTGAGACCCACTCCTTGTATCTTCCACATTTCATCACTGTTTTGTTAACGAATTGTGCCAACTATATATGTAATATAGTGTTGATAATCACTTGTTTAATTAAATATGTATTTAACCCCAAAATCCTAGATGTCATCAGTTTGTCCTATTCTTTTTCGGCGCATCTAAAATTTGCGGTTTACCTTTGCTCGGCAAATCATATGACATGGTAATTTTTTTGGAAAATTAAGTTATTTCGATGTTAATAATCAATTCGATTATCAAGTATTTTTACGTCAGTTTTGCTTATAATATATAATTAACTTTATCAATATATAATCAGTATATTAATATTCTTAATAAGATTTGACAGTGATTACAGTATATACGATATTTTATTTCTTAGAAGACAAACTGCATGATGTGAACGTCACATATTTCACCAATAATACGTAACAAACTTACTGACTGACGGCCGGTCTAGTATTAATAACAAATTATTCAGCGGTCCGAATCAACAACAAATATGTCAGTTCTGCTGAAAAAATATGTGTATAATATATAACAAGATATGGGTTAAAGTAGTAAAAGAGTTTTCTAGAGGGATTCTTCTCCGATTTGGTTATCATTTGGCGGGTCGTCGTTGTGTTTCATTGGTCTTAGTGCACTATTTAGACTATCAGCGTTCCTTGTCCGCGATGCTCTCAGCAATATGATGTATATGTACATGTAACTGTTCTGTTTACTGTGTCTTGATAAAGGAGCGAATCGCTCCGAAAATTTGACAACCTTAACTTGTCCACACTGTTGGAATTACTTCTTTTCCCCATATATAATAAGATATATATATAATCTACTTTGCTAGGGATAACAAACTATTTATACACACACTATGATATTGTTATAGAACAAAACAAAAGTATATGTAATATATTTCAGTTGAACTGCAGAACGTGACAATTCCATCAAACACACTTGACCCATACAAGTATTATCACTACATCGAACGTCGTTAGTCAATGTTCAATGTTAATTATATTTCCAAAAGTTTACAACTTATCGCTACAGGATATTAGTACAATCCATAAATATGCAATACATGCTTGTCGGGGCGGCAGTTGCATGTGTAAACATATAAGTGACATGTATTTGAGAATGCATTGTGGTTGGTTCATGCATTACAATTTGTTTTCAGATTATCTCTCAATATAAATGCTTTGTGCAGAAACTTTCCAAATTTGCATAATTCAGATGTATTGCTAGAGTGCATCAGACATGCTGGGTTTTGACCAATAATATTTTTTCATGTGAATATGTCTAAGTAACTAAAAAGACGGACATTTAAGCACAAAGTGGTATTCGTCCTCAATATCCAAATTGCATAATTTACAGATTCTTAAATTCCTTGGTACATGAATATATCTATCTTGCTCAATTTCTAACTGGTGACTGGACATTCTGAGTTTCGTAGTAACTTTTCTGTACTTGAATTGGATAGGTCCCCTGAAATAAATGTTCATACCAAAACTTTGTGCACATATTAGGTGTCTATACAAACTACATTTGGTCGAGTCAGCTATCTGACTCCTTATTTCTTGTGCACAACAATCAAAAAGTCTTTGTTTAATAATGCCCAAAGCATGTTTTACATTCATCAACAACTTCAATATGTTCACCATCATATAACCAATGTTCATTATCTGGAGCCTTCCCAGCCTTTCGAAAAACAACCATGTTAGTTTTCTGAGTATAACTGTATAAGCTTCCATTTTTCAGAGAACAATAATAATGTATCAAGTGACATTTGAAGTCCCTCCACTGATTCTGATATCAGCACCATGTCATCGACATACATAAGTAGAAAAGGGCTTAAAGTCTTTAACTCGTATGACATGTTACCTTCGTGCATACACTCCATCTCACACTCGTTCACATATATTCACCTTGAATTAATCCAATCTCATTAATGAAAAATTCAGAATAAAATCCATCTAACTTGACACATGATTTTATGTCATTATCTCAAAAACTAACGAAAATGTAAATGCTCCGTCGAGACCTCAAATTTCGCAGGAAATCTCAACGCCATAATTTGCTTCATTTCAATTCAATCTCAGTTGAAATGTTGTTAATAACGTGGTATGATATACAAATGATATAAATTAAAAAAAACAAGGTTGATTATGAATATATATTTTAAATTCAAAACGATTATATCATAATAAAACTCAAGTATCATATACTCACGTTTGTAATCGTTAATTAACTTAGAGAGTAACACCAACGATATGGGAGATATTTACGTAATTGAAAAAGTAGCTCCGAATTTATTTTAAGTTGTGTTTTTTTTTATTGAGATAGATAGGCCAGGAGTTATATTTGATTGTGTGTGATGTACGTTATTGTGTAGTTGTGTTTATTAATCGTGGTGATTATAAATAAATACCAGTCAGTGTCTATATCGCTGGGAAATACAGTGTTTTTATTCGTGTTGTTTATCCTATTGGAAATGACACTTATTAGGCCTATCGATGGCTTATACTAACTTGTATAGCATGGACTTATAATCTAATTCCGTCCTTATAGCAATATGTAGTCTTTTACATGGGTATTAGTGGCTTGACTAGTCATACAAGCGTAAATGAAAATGAAATCTTATCATTTTAAAACGAAATTTTAAAATAAGAACTACTAACACTAATGCTGCAGGTCAATGGCATTACACGAAGTATTTATGATCCAGTCAACCGAATGCGACAATTTAAACAATAGACCGAGGTGTTCCGAATAAATGGAGAGATTTATACTCTCTAAATTCATATTAAATACATTTCGTAGGTTTTACAAGATCAGTAATAAAGCATTTATTTAATTAATGAATTTTTCATTAATTTGTGTTTGATAATGAATAAGATGATAAAATAAGCTACATTCAACGATAAATCAATTTGTTTTTGTAAAACGAAACCGGAAATGATATATATGTAAACAGACGAAGGAGCCGACAGCAGGTGCTTGTTCACACCAGGTCGTGAACATGGAAGACCCTTTTTTACTGCTTGTCATATTGACCACACTTACGTGTAAACATAACATAATAGGGGCTGATCTAACGAAAGCACCCGGTCACATGAAACCCTTTGGGTACGGAAGACCGATGGTTGAAGTGGAGGAAACATTCGTTACACCTGACCCCGAGACCTTTTGGAAAAATAATGTTTATGCTCTCAAACCACTGAAAATGAAAGGCGCTGCTTCAATATCACCGGCGTTTTCAAAATGGACAGACGATTACTTTCTGTCGCTCGACATGTCTAACGAAAATACAGTGACGGTCGAAACAGTGAAAAAGGAAAGCAGACAACAAAAAATTGTGCAAATGGATTTTCAGCGATTTGTGCAAGAATACAACAACTCCGAGATTTATATGGTGAACTCAGTGCCTCAGACGATATGGTAAATAAGTCCTGATATGGTAAAAAAGCCATCTGTTTAAGATTAGATAAAAACAGCTGTTTTCTAATTAGCAGGAAAATGTACTAAAAGATCATTCCTTGCATCACAGGCCTCTGTAATTGTATCAGTTGATAATAAATATTGTCCAAGAGTAAAGAATAGCCCCCCAAAATAAACCTTTCTCGAAAGTTGATAAATATAGTCCTAGAGTAAAGAATAGCCCCCTAAAAATGCCGCTCTCTATATATAGGCCTGTATATATATAAAGGGGTTATGTTAGGGGTTAATCGTTACTATAGGACTAGATCAGCTTACTGATAAAATTTCAGAGGCCTGATTGTTATGGCATATGCCAACCCCCTTCCTCCATGCATAAGTCGGTTCTGGGTTGTTTCGCCCGAAATCCTGTTCGGCCTAAAATTTATGTTCGCCCTAAAACTAAATTTTAGGGCAAAACCATTCTTGGTATTTTCTTTCAATTTTAGTAATTTTTAAGTCACAAATTAAGTCTTCTTATTCTTCCATATCATTTAAATCAATTCCATAAAAAAAATGTATTTGTCTTGTTTTTAAGCAAGTGTGACAAACGGTAGTTTTGAAAATTAAACATTAAATATACCAAACACCAATGTAGAAAGTCATCAATAACTTTAGTTGATATATTTAAATATTAATTATTATATTAGCGTATAAATTAAAAAAAATATACTGAGGGCGAAACAACCTAGGGCGAACAGGATTTAGGGCGAAACAACCCGTTACCTATAAGTCAATTAACATTTTTTACCTGTTTTTATTAATATGATTGAGTGGTTCTAAAGTTATACCTTAACCTGTTCATGAATAATTAGAATGTTAATTTATATTTCAGTAAAGATGTAGTTTTACCGTGTCCACTTCAGTGTCAGTATCTAGTGGAAAAGGGACTGGTAGAAGCGGTGAGTAATCTGTAATCAACAGCTGTCTTATGGAAGTGGTGAGTAAGAAGTAATTAACGCCCAGCTTGTGGAGGCGGTAAGTAAGTAGTAATTAACGCCCAGCTTGTGGAGGCGGTAAGTAAGTAGTAATGAACAGCCAGCTTGTGTAGGCGGTAACTGAGTAGTAACTTATAGCCAGCTTGTGGAGGCGGTAAGTAGTAATTAATGGCCAGCTTGTGGAGGCGGTAAGTAAGTAGTAATTAACGCCCAGCTTGTGGAGGCGGTTAGTAAGTAGTAATTAACGCCCAGCTTGTGGAGGCGGTAAGTAAGTAGTAATTAACACCCAGCTTGTGGAGGCGGTAAGTAAATAGTAATTAACAGCCAGCTTGTGGAGGTGGTAAGTAAGTAGTAATGAACAGCCATCTTGTGGAGGTGGTAAGTAAGTAGTAATGAACAGCCATCTTGTGGAGGCGGTAAGAAGTAATTATAGGCCAGCTTGCGGAGCTGGTAAGTAAATATTAATGAACAGCCAGCTTGTGGAGGTGGTAAGTTAGTAGTAATGAACAGCCATCTTGTGGAGGTGGTAAGTAAATATTAATGAACAGCCAGCTTGTGGAGGCGGTAGGAAGTAATTAATGGCCAGCTTGCGGAGCTGGTAAGTAAATATTAATGAACAGCCAGCTTGTGGAGGCGGTAAGAAGTAATTAATGGCCAGCTTGCGGAGCTGGTAAGTAAATATTAATGAACAGCCAGCTTGTGGAGGCGGTAAATAAGTAGTAATTAATGGCCAGCTTGTGGAGGTGGTAAGTAAATAGTAATTAACCGTCAGCTTGTGTAGGCGGTAAGTAAGTAGTAATTAATGGCCAGCTTGTGGATGCGTTAAGTAGTAACTAATAGTCAGCTTGTGGAGGTGGTAAGTAAGTAGTAATTAACAGCCAGCTTGTGGAGGTGGTAAGTAAGTAGTAATTAACAGCCAGCTTATGGAGGCGGTAAGTAAGTAGTAATTAATGGACTTTACTCCAACAACCCAGGTGGAGTATAAATTGGTCTGGGGTGGATGTTACGGTATCTGTGCTGTAGCATTCAAGTGTGGTGGCACTATAAATGATGCCGTTGGAAGCACAGTCCCACTACAAACAGAACACATTACATCTTCAGCACACACACAGGTATACACACATAGGGAGATATTAGCCAGGTGGCATAGGACTAGTAGTTAGCGCCTGATAAGGCAGCTCCTGAGAGTTCCTCAAAACTTGTATTGATTATTGTATATGCTAGTTGTATTAATTGTATATATATGTACTGTAAAGCGCTTTAGAGTGGCTTATGTTAGCTAGATAGGGCGCTATATCAAATGCTGTATATTAAGTAAGTAGTAATTAACAGCCAGCTTGTGGAGTCTGTAAGTAAGTAGCAATTAACGGCCAAGTAAGTATAACATTAACAATTATTTTTACTTAGCAAAAGTTTTAAGTGAAGTACTAGCCTTGCAGGCAGGTATGGAAAGGTCAGTTCAGGAAATTAAGTACAAATTAAATAAAGACTGTAAAAATAGTTAAAAGCGATGCACATGTAGAGTGTAATTGTCTAATATTATAGACATGAAGATCAATTAATTTGTCGAATATTATATCATCATGACATATGTTTACATTACAGCTGATGTGGTACAGTAGCGGAGGCACCAACTCAGTAGTACATACAGACTCGGTAGACAACATCAACTGTTTGTACCGCGGCAAAAAGGAGTTCATCTTGATCGACCCCAGCAAGTATGGAGACAAGGTAAATGTGTGTCTGGAAGAGAAACACAACACAGAAAGTCATATGGCCTTTCTAATAGTTTTGTGGTATTCTTGATAAATGGGTAAATGTTTCGTTAGTATATCATATACAATATAAATGTGTGAGTATATGTCTCAGTGTTGTAGGATATTTCAACACATACATACTTAAACCGACTGAAACAGAACAACATGTGACTGTTTGATGTTCAACAGTAGAACACATCTCTGATCAAAGTATGTGAAAAAAGACACCAACTATTTACTGTTCTCACAAAGGAGAAGGGTAAACTGGCAAATAGAGAATCTGCAGATTTTTTTTATGATGAAAAACAAAATGTTTTTAAACTAAAAAGGAAGTTCAGGGTTAAATATTTATGGTAGAATTGTGTGAAATTTAAATGGTGTATATTTTGTATAATATTTGGCTATATAATTGAAGTTTTTGAGATGTTATGCAAGATATACAGTCAAACCAGCCTTAACAGTCACCTTAAATAAACAGCCACCTGCCTTAAAAGGTCAGTTAAAGGTCCTCCCGATGAAATACACTATGTATTGAACTCTAATTAAGCGGTCACCTGTCTGACGCGGCCAGCGGCCACTAAAATCGGGTCAGAATTACGATCGCTGTCTGAGAACAGCAGCCAGCCGCCATTTTGTCTAGAAAGTTACACTGCAACGGTCACATGACTACGCTTATTTGTAGTTGCAGTCATGTGATTTTTGCAGAGATCATGGAACAGTTAAAAGTCCACAGGTGCAAATGAGTCTGATGATGAGGATTCTGATGACGCTACTCACTGTGATGCTGCTTCTAGTGAACTTTGTAATGCAGATATCAAACAGAAACTTCATGAAATGAAACAGTTTTATTGTCAAAAAGGTCACAGGAATTTGTTGGGACTTGTTATGCAATTAGAAACAGAACATGACATTGTGTTTGTGAAAAGTGTGAAACAAGCATCAATCCCTGATTATTTGGCAACGTTATAATAATTGCATTTATACATGCATATACAATTGTACATATGTGAACATGTATCATGACTTTTCAGGTTCACAGCATTTTCATTATACATGTACATGTAAATTCTGATACATGTATTTATGACTTCATGTAAATATAATTTTTATGTCAACATATTGTCTTCTAAATGCATATGTGTATGAATAAATGCATGATATTTTCTATTCATATATGTAATTATAATAAAGTACACTTGAACCTAAATCTAAACTTTTGTATCTTGATTATTAGTCACCTGATTTCAGCAGCCACCTCTCTCATGCAGCCAATTTCCCTTGATCCCTTCAGTGGCTGTTTAATACTGTATATCAAAATGTATACTACATTTCAGAATGATTGGTTGAGAATGTTAATCTGTCACTCAAAATAATACTTAAGTGATGAAGCCTTCAGAATGTACAGGTTTAACTTGGTGTTGTTGACAGGTGGACCTCGACCATCCTGAGGGTTCCTACTCTGCAGTGGATGTAGACAGGTAAGTCACATGACCTGAGGGTTCCTACTCTGAAGTGGATGTAGACAGGTAAGTCACATGACCTGAGGGTTCCTACTCTGAAGTGGATGTAGACAGGTAAGTCACATGACCTGAGGGTTCCTACTCTGAAGTGGATGTAGACAGGTAAGTCACATGACCTGAGGGTTCCTACTCTGAAGTGGATGTAGACAGGTAAGTCACATGACCTGAGGGTTCCTACTCTGAAGTGGATGTAGACAGGTAAGTCACATGACCTGAGGGTTCCTACTCTGAAGTGGATGTAGACAGGTAAGTCACATGACCTGAGGGTTCCTACTCTGAAGTGGATGTAGACAGGTAAGTCACATGACCTGAGGGTTCCTACTCTGAAGTGGATGTAGACAGGTAAGTCACATGACCTGAGGGTTCCTACTCTGAAGTGGATGTAGACAGGTAAGTCACATGACCTGAGGGTTCCTACTCTGAAGTGGATGTAGACAGGTAAGTCACATGACCTGAGGGTTCCTACTCTGAAGTGGATGTAGACAGGTAAGTCACATGACCTGAGGGTTCCTACTCTGAAGTGGATGTAGACAGGTAAGTCACATGACCTGAGGGTTCCTACTCTGAAGTGGATGTAGACAGGTAAGTCACATGACCTGAGGGTTCCTACTCTGAAGTGGATGTAGACAGGTAAGTCACATGACCTGAGGGTTCCTACTCTGAAGTGGATGTAGACAGGTAAGTCACATGACCTGAGGGTTCCTACTCTGAAGTGGATGTAGACAGGTAAGTCACATTACCAGAGGGTTCCTACTCTGTAGTGGATGTAGACAGGTAAGTCCCATGACCTGAGGGTTCCTACTCTGTAGTGGATGTAGACAGGTAAGTCACATTACCTGAGGGTTCCTATTCTGTAGTGGATAAAAAGGGTAAGTCACATGACCTGAGAGTCCTTACTCTGCAGTGGATGTAGACATGTAAGTTAAAAAACACAATCAAAACTGCTTATGTTTTGAAACAATGGTTTGGGTGATCAGATTGATGTTTCTTTAATGACCCTTCTAGAAATAGTCATATTTTAAGTTTATGAAATACTTTCCTGACCTGTGTAACAAAGTATCTTAAAGAGATCATTTGTTATTTTTCTGATGTGTGACATCTATTATATTGAAACTAGTCAACATTAAAAATCTAAAACATTATCATGGTTTGATTAATCACTTGTTTCTTTATGATTATAGTGTTGACTACACAGCGTACCCAGGTCTGGCAGAGGTGGAGTACATCCATGTCAGCATGGAGGCGGGCGACTGTCTGTATATACCATATAGGTGGTAAGTTATCAGTACAGAGGGGAACTAACTGTCTGTATATACCATATAGGTGGTAAGTTATCAGTATGGTGGAGAACTGTCTGTAAGTACCATATAGGTGGTAAGTTATCAGTACAGAGGGGAACTAACTGTCTGTATATACCATATAGGTGGTAAGTTATCAGTACAGAGGGGAACTAACTGTCTGTATATACCATATAGGTGGTAAGTTATCAGTACAGAGGGGAACTAACTGTCTGTATATACCATATAGGTGGTAAGTTATCAGTACAGAGGGGAACTAACTGTCTGTATATACCATATAGGTGGTAAGTTATCAGTACAGAGGGGAACTAACTGTCTGTATATACCATATAGGTGGTAAGTTATCAGTACAGAGGGGAACTAACTGTCTGTATATACCATATAGGTGGTAAGTTATCAGTACAGAGGGGAACTAACTGTCTGTATATACCATATAGGTGGTAAGTTATCAGTACAGAGGGGAACTAACTGTCTGTATATACCATATAGGTGGTAAGTTATCAGTACAGAGGGGAACTAACTGTCTGTATATACCATATAGGTGGTAAGTTATCAGTACAGAGGGGAACTAACTGTCTGTATATACCATATAGGTGGTAAGTTATCAGTACAGAGGGGAACTAACTGTCTGTATATACCATATAGGTGGTAAGTTATCAGTACAGAGGGGAACTAACTGTCTGTATATACCATATAGGTGGTAAGTTATCAGTACAGAGGGGAACTAACTGTCTGTATATACCATATAGGTGGTAAGTTATCAGTACAGAGGGGAACTAACTGTCTGTATATACCATATAGGTGGTAAGTTATCAGTACAGAGGGGAACTAACTGTCTGTATATACCATATAGGTGGTAAGTAATCAGTACAGAGGAGAACTAACTGTCTGTATATACCATATAGGTAGTAAGTTATCAGCACAGAGGGGAACTAACTGTCTGTATATACAATATAGGTGGTAAGTTATCAGTATGGTGGAGAACTAACTGTCGGTATATACCAAATAGGTGGTAAGTAATCAGTACAGAGGAGAACTAACAGTCTGTATATACCATATAGGTAGTAAGTTATCAGCACAGAGGGGAACTAACTGTCTGTTTATACCAAATAGGTGGTAAGTTATCAGTAAAGAGGGGAACTAACTGTCTGTATATACAATATAGGTGGTAAGTTATCAGTAAAGAGGGGAACTAACTGTCTGTTTATACCAAATAGGTGGTAAGTTATCAGTATGGTGGAGAACTAACTGTCTGTATATACCAAATAGGTGGTAAGTAATCAGTATGGTGGAGAACTAACTGAATATTTCTTAAATTTATAACATATAGGTGGTACTTTATTAAGTTATCCTGACTAGAAATAACACTTAAAGAATAATGATCAAGCATGAAATTTAAAGCAATTCTCAACACTACAAATTTGTAATTGACTGATACGTTTGATGTATCCTTGCATGTGACTCTATACTGTTATTGTCGTTATATTGTCTTCAAGGCTTGATCCACCAAGATTTTTATGTGTATCCTAGTTCCCATTAAAAGATTAATTTGACAATATATTGTGTTGGTTTAGGATCCATCAGGTTCGTTCCTATGCTAACAATCTTGCGGTCAACATCTGGTGGAACCATCACATAGCACCAGAGATCAACCTTGACCTTTGTAATGCCCAGTGTGACCTTGACCTGACCTTGGATGCTCTAGAATTCAGGGGCTTTGGAGAAGTGACAACTGTGGATGGTATAAGGTTTGTTAATACCTATTGGTAACAGCTGTCATAGTGTCCCTTTGTTACAGCTGTAAAGCTGTCGATTGTCCTAATGTTATCTGTAATAGATTGTTGGTTGAGTCTGTGTTAAATCTAGTCTACTTTGTATGCTTTAGAATACAGTTTGTCACTAATGCAAGACTAGGCCCTTGAATGGCCTCTAATTGAAGGACTTAAATTTTCTCTTAATTTTGTTTTAAAATTTCCATAGTCAGTGCCCTTAATATTGTATATTTAAGTGTTCTTAATTGTAGGGGGGAAAAAACCTGGGGTAATTGTAAGGATACGTATAACAGATATCCTTAAACACAAGGGTTCATAAAAAATAACATTTAGATGGTTACCGGTAGATGTAATGGTCCATAAATGTGGAAACCATTGAACTTAAAGATGTTTAAACAAACACATAATGTATACAATATAAATGACACTTTGAATAAAAAGTTAAAATAACCTACAGGTTATGACCTGGTATATAGGGGCTCATTGTAGTGATTAAGTGTCATTGTTCCTCTATTAAATCTGTGCCAGTTTGATATAATATTTGTTAGTTTAGTATTTTTATTAGTCCATAACAGTCTGTTTTAGCCTGATACAGTGTGTCTTAATCCTGTATAGGGTACAGTTGCTGACTGTGAAGAAGTGTTCTTTTAATCCTGTCAATCAAACTCAGTCAGTTATTGTTTTGTTCTCCTATTTTGTGTAGCTTTTGAAAAAAAAAAAAATTGTCTTTCAGGGATCACTTTGAAACATTTTTGGGAGTATCAAGTCGAGTTTCTTTTAAAAGATTTCAAAGAGCATTACTTGGGGTGAGTATGTTATTTAGATGAGAATGTTACTTGAATATCCTTCATGGTTGACCTATTGCGGTGTGTGTTATACCCTTGCAACCAGAATCTGTCCATCAATCTGTGGACATGTTTGTTTCTGAGCCATAACTTTTCAAAGGGTCAAAAGTCATTTCAGCAGTAATATGTGCTTTAAAATGCAACTGGTGATGGTATCACAGCTCCCTTGTGCTCCCTTGTCTATATGCTATTCCTTACAAAAAAAATCTGAAATATCACATGAATGTTCCCCATGATCCCTAGTTATGCATATCAAATTTCAGGACTGATAAGAAAACCAAGATGGCCCGAAAGGCATCCATCTTGAATGTTGAGAGTTGTTATCAATATTTCTCAGAAAGTACTGGAGGCATCTTGCTCCAATTTCATATGAAGTTGTCCTTGGTTCCTAGTTATGCATATTGAATTTCGGGACTGATCTGAAAACCAAAATGGCCAACAGGTGGCCATCTTGAATTTTGAGAGTTAAATTTTATTATTGCTATTTCTCGGATAGAACTGGAGGAATCTTTTTCAGTATTTTGTATGTATGTTCCCCTTGGTCTTCTTGTTAACAAATGGGATTTTGTGTGAGTACCTGTAAGAAAAATGAAGAGTATAGAAGGTAAAAGATCATCTTTGTAGATCCGATGATAAAGATCCTTCGATAGTGGGTGCCAAGATCCTTCTAGGATCTGTTGTGCGTTTTAAAATGCACTGCATCGATGTAAGTCCCCAAATGTAGTCCCATGTAAAAAATATCAGTGTGCTAGCATACATAATTAATTAATAGCAAGCCTCAATAAACTAGTCCCTAAAGACTTTAACTGGTCCAAGGTCCATATTCCCACCACATGTACAGCATAAGCCCCCTGTTCTTGGTGCAGTTGAGCTAAAAATAAGTATGTACAGTAGCAATCCCTGTGATGTTCACACAGATATGGTAGTTTATATATGGTTACATTTAATGGTCCTAGGAACAAGGTATTACTGCATTTTTATAATTTTCACCTGTCATTTTTACTCGTTTTCCAGGAAGACCTTGATATGCTAAAGGAAAGAAATGCGGGAGACGAACATCTGTTGTACCTGAGGCAGGTGAGTTAATTGAGCTTCCCGATGAATGGTACACCAGCGTTACATAAACCTGTATACCTTTCTGTAGGAACTATAGTTTACTTATATTGATAACTATATAAGCTGTATACATACCTGTATTAACTGTAACAGATGTATCCCTATCTGTATATAGTTAGGTATATATACAGATAGTGATACATCTGATACAGGTAATCAGATACGTATACAGCTTATATAGTTAGGGATATATACAGATAGGGATACATCAGTTACAGGTAATAAAGGTAGGTATATATACAGATAGGGTTACATCTGATACAGGTCATACTGGTAGGTATACAGCTTATATAGTTTGGTATATATACAGATAGGGATAATCTGATACAGGTCATACAGGTAGGTTTACAGCTTATATAGTTATCAATATAAGTAAACTATAGTTCCTACAGAAAGGGATACAGGTTTATGTAACGCTGGTGTATCTGATACAGGTCATACAGGTAGGAATACAGCTTATATAGTTAGGTATTTATACAGATAGGGATACATCTTTTACAGGTCATACAGGTAGGTATACAGCTGATATAGTTAGGTATATATACAGATAGGAATAGATCTGATACAGGTCATCCAGGTAGGTATACAGCTTATATCGTTAGATATATATACAGATAGGGATACGTCTGATACAGATCATACAGGTAGGTATACAGCTGATATAGTTAGGTATATATACAGCTAGGGATACAGCTGTATATATACCTAACTATATAAGCTGTATGCCTACCTGTATGACCTGTAACAGATGTATCCCTATCTGTATAAATACCTAACTATATAAGCTGTATTCCTACCTGTATGACCTGTATCGGATGTATCCCTATCTGTATATAGTTAGGTATATATACAGCTAGGGATACAGCTGTATATATACCTAACTATATAAGCTGTATACCTACCTTTATTACCTGTAACAGCTGTATCCCTATCTGTATATATACCTAACTATATGAGCTGTATACCTACCTTTATTACCTGTATCAGATGTATCCCTATCTGTATATATACCTAACTATATAAGCTGTATACCTACCTTTATTACCTGTAACAGATGTATCCCTATCTGTATATATACCTAACTATATAAGCTGTATACCTACCTTTATTACCTGTATCAGATGTATCCCTATCTGTATATTAAGCATTATACTAACTGTAAGGTGTATACCTACATGTGTAAGGTGTATACTTACATGTGTAAGATGTATACCTACATGTGAAAGGTGTATACCTACATGTGTAAGGTGTATACCTACATGTGTAAGATGTATACCTACATGTGTAAGGTGTATATCTACATGTGTAAGGTGTTTATCTACATGTGTAAGGTGTATATGTACATGTGTAAGGTGTTTATCTACATGTGTAAGGTGTATACCTACATGTGTAAGGTGTATACCTACATGTGTAAGGTGTATATCTACATGTGTAAGGTGTATATCTACATGTGTAAGGTGTATACCTACATGTGTAAGGTGTATATGTACATGTGTAAGGTGTATATCTACATGTGTAAGGTGTATACCTACATGTGTAAGGTGTATACCTACATGTGTAAGGTGTATACCTACATGTGTAAGGTGTATACCTACATGTGTAAGGTGTATATCTACATGTGTAAGGTGTTTATCTACATGTGTAAGGTGTATATGTACGTGTGTAAGGTGTTTATCTACATGTGTAAGGTGTATACCTACATGTGTAAGGTGTATACCTACATGTGTAAGGTGTATATCTACATGTGTAAGGTGTATATGTACGTGTGTAAGGTGTATACCTACATGTGTAAGGTGTATATGTATGTGTGTAAGGTGTATATCTACATGTGTAAGGTGTATATGTACGTGTGTAAGGTGTATATGTATGTGTGTAAGGTGTATATCTACATGTGTAAGGTGTATACCTACATGTGTAAGGTGTATATGTATGTGTGTAAGGTGTAAAGCTACATGTGTAAGGTGTATATCTACATGTGTAAGATGTATATCTACATGTGTAAGGTGTATATGTACGTGTATCCAATAAATAGTTACTGTGCTATAAAATCACAAAATAATTATATGATCCTAATTAAGAAATTTCCAATGAAGCTCTACGTGGTCAGGGTGTTCATATTAGGAACACTAACTTGTATACTACAGTCTGATTTGTTGATGGCATATATACAGGGTATATATTTTGTGGAGACTTGAGGACAAATCACATGATGAGCAGACATCATGCACATTTAATATGGATACAACAATCTGATACATGAGTGCAAATTAAGGTTAAAACTCAAAATGTTTATATTATTAATAAAGTCATAACTTACACATTATCTGAGTTAGTGAAGATATACTGTAAGCCTCCATACAGGGGTAGCATCACTGGACATTGTGTATTTGCTGGGTTCCTACCCTAAGGACAAGGTCACAGTTGAAGGTTCTTGACTCTTTCTCTAGACCAAGGTGAAAATCGAAGTCTAGTTTTGATTTTTTGCTTCTTCACTGAACTTGATTTAAATGTAGCATGATAGACTTGCATGATAGTGTTTTGTTTAAGGAATATTTAAATGAAAAGGCTTATACAGTAACTAGTGAAGGTATTTTAAGAAATGTCACGTGCATCTTAATCTATTGTGTATACATTACTAGTATATACCATATACAGCTGTGTTAGGACTCCATACTTCAAAGACCAGTTCTTAAGTGAAGCTCAGTTTTGTGTCGTGGACTTGAAACGTGTCCTTTACAGTAGTCTAGTTGTAACATTTCATGGTTGATGTTCTTCATTGCAGATATTCACGGTACTAGATGGAAACTTAGATGATATATTAACTAAACAAGAAGTCAAGGATGCCACACCAGAGGTTTGTTAGGTTTACACTCATTCTGTCTCCATATCAATGGTCTCCTACGTCAGTTGTGATGTTGTATTCTCCATATCAATTGTCTCCTACGTCAGTTGTGATGTTATATTCTCCATATCAATTGTCTCCTACTCAGTTGTGATGTTGTATTCTCCATATCAATTGTCTCCTACGTCAGTTGTGATGTTATATTCTCCATATCA